TACAGTAGAGTGAGAAATATTATGCCAAGAGTATAGGGAACACAAAAAAATCATGGATAGTTAGTTAAGCTAAAACGTTTACATAACTTAATTTGAATAAACAAATTATTCAAAGTGGCAAAAACTAAAATACGAAAATTATGTAAATAAATAACCATAACCACGGTACAGAACAGAACAGAACAAAAGTCACAGGAGTGACAGTCAGAACAGAGGTCAATGGATCCATGATAAACAGAAGACCACAAAGTGGCCAAACAAAAACCAATAGTTATTTAAGTCCCTCAAGGCATGGGACTCTCGTGGTGGTACTTACAAAATATAATTGTTTACAAAATCATTATTAAATAATTTTTAAAATTTAAAAAAACATATCCATCGGTTTCAATTTATGTAAATGGAGTTCAGAAAATAATTAACGTAATTAAAATATAAATATAAGTTATAAAACATGAGTTGCGTAAAATATATTATGGTAACTCAAAACATACGTAAAATATGTTATGGTAACTCAAGGTATAATATAACTCACCTTAATATTGAGTCTTACTATTTCCTTTCTATGTCTGTTGGTTTTTCGGCCCTTCCCTCACTCTTTTTTCTGCTTATGCCTTTTTTTTTTTTTTTTTTGTTTTTCCGCTGGCACTAACTTCACAACCCCCCCTCCTATTTATATACACATGGCTGGGTGATGACTCACCCTTTACTAATGACCCTAAGTGATGACTCACCTCCCCCCATAGACCTAGACGTACAGATGGCTCCACTTTCATCTTCTTAGCAATATTTACAAATCCCCTCAATTAAAAACAAATCTTCATAACTAATTATTACTTGATTCATTTAATTAAATCTATACATTCCAATCTTCTCACACTAATTGGTGATTAATTTAACCCCCAAATAATTCTTTTCATCATATATTTGATAATCACAATAGCAAATTAATTTACATAGCACGTATAGCTTAGTCATTTTATTATTTCCATTATTATTGTTCTTATTATTATTATTTTGCCTTCATCTTACATTGACCCTAGTTAATTGTATAATAAATTAAATTATTTTATTTTACGATCACTTCTACTAGTATTAATATTATCATGATTGGTTGTGGTATTAATTAAATATTTGGGGTGTCACAATAACAGTGACTCTTTCATCACCGTTAGCACATTATGCACATGCTAGGACACAGTGTCCCCCGAATGTTGGAGCGTTCTTGGATTTTTCGATTTTGGAACCCTCGCAACACGTGGATAAACATTACAACACTTTCTTCAACAGCTAAGCCATGTAGATGTTGTTGTACTTGTAACCTAAAATCAGTTACTAATGTGTGACACAAAGCCACAAAAACTTCCTTCGGCATCTACACATTTTCCTGAAATCGACCCACATGGCCCGCATATAGTTCGATTATATAGCGATCCCAATTTTCCCTTTCTGTATCTGTTGTATTTCGGACTTTGGTTCCGTGGAGTTGGTAGTTGTATCTACCTTGTTGTCGTCCTTTGATTCCATTTGTTTGAGTTATAGGTTGTGTTGGGCTTGGTTGTTACAGGTTGGTAGAGCTTTGGCTCCCATTGTTGTTGCCCAGTTTTTGTATGGTCCGCTCGAGCAGGTCATTCTGCGCTCGAGCGTGGTTTACACCCTTCTAGTATTTCGTGTCCCTGCAAAACTTCTGCAGGTGTGTTTTCTACGCTCGAGCGGGTTTGTTGGCGCTCGAGCGGGTAGTTCTTTTTCTGAAAAGTTCTGGGAGATGAAAATCTACGCTCGAGCGGACTAGTTTTCGTGCTCGAGCGGATGTACTTTATTCTTGTGTCTTGGCGCTCGAGCGGGCCTTCTTGCGCTCGAACGGACCTAGTTTTTGTTCTTGACGCTCGAGTGTTATGTTTTCTGCTCAAGCGGGAATGTCGTATAATAGAGGGCAGTTGGGCATTTTTGAATCATTTTCTACACTTCCACTCTCTCTCTTACTTTTCCAAAACACCGTTTGAGAGCTTCTCTCTCTAGAACCTTGCCTTCTCTCTAGGGTTTGATCTAGCTAGGGTGTTCTCCTTTCCTTTGGCCTTTACAAAAAGGTTGTTGATCGTCGACGGCTATCTTTTGATCCAAGAATCTCGGGATTTGGAGCATTTCCGTTTCCTTCATCTTCTTCGTTGGGTTCCATCATTTGAGGTAGGGATTCCTACTCACTACTATGGGTTTTAACCTAGATTTTTGGGCATTTTGTTGAATGGTTGATTTTGGAAAGTTAGGGTTTGAAAATGTTGAAAGGGGGTTTTGGTATTTTGATTCTAAAATATGTATTTTGGGTTTCAAAATAACGAAATTGTTGTTGGTTGTTGATATATAGACCATTGGGTCAATATTGGGAAATGCGGTAGAAAACCCTAATTGGTTGTATAAATTAATTGGTATAATTAATTTGAAAAAATTGTGGCTATATGGAATTGAGTTAGAAATAATGAAATTGGCTCATTATATAGTAGAATGGTGGAGTTGGATTTACTAATCGCTCACTTTTGAAAACATTGATATTTTATCTGTTGGAGCTTTTATTATCCGTTTAGAAATAATTGCTTGGGCTACCGGTGGAGGGTAGTTTTGATTGTTGTAGACAATGCATGATGATTAGGCAAACTAAAACTAATCAATTGGATATGTCATAGAGTATGACGGTTAATAGAATACATTAATGTTATGTATTGATTGATTGTGTATATGACCTAAGTGTATATACATTGTGTGTGTGGGAGGAGATAGGGGATGTACTCCACGGTTTAGGGGAAGATAGGGGATGGACCTCTAAACCGGATGTTGTTTGGAAGGAGATAGGGGATGGACTCCGCTGATACAGCTCATATGCTTGTCAGTTAATGTGTTGATATAGCTCATATGCTTATCTATGGATGTGTTGATATAGATCATATGCTTATCTATTAAAATGTTGATACAGCTTGTATGCTTATCTGTTGAGATGTTGATGTAGCTTATATGTTTATCGGATGAAATGTTGACGTAGCTGGTATGCTTATCTAATGTGAAATGGGAGAAGTTTATTATGAGTCTCTATCTCATGTAAATGGTGGGCCAGGTTCTGAGCCGTTGATGTAAATTGTGAAATTGATAAGAAATGGAAAATGAAATGAAACATGGACATAGTGGTCACGTAATGGAAATGGGTTATGAATTGATTTATGGAAATAGAACATTTATCAATTGCTAATGTCTTAGTTACTGCTCATACTGTGTTTAGCATATCTCTATTGGGCGTTGGCTCACCCTATATGGGACATTATTCTCAGGTACAGGTAGCATGCCACCTCCAAGGACATAGCTTGGATGATGATGAGAGTTGAAGATTCTTTTTGTTTATTTTGTTTGTATTACATGTATATCAAGCCAATGGCTTATTTTGTATAAAGTTAGTACTCTTCTTTTGTGTAACCAGCTGTTGACTTGGAAAGCTATAAGCCCATAGGGCATTTGCTTTTGTTGTTAACATGTAATACTGTTGTAAGAACTACTCTGATGAATAGAAATGGTTGGTTTCTTTTATATCAATGCATGTCTAAAGTGATGAATTTTATGTATTATTTTGAGGGCGTTACAGGTTATCCATGCATGCTAAGTCAAAATTGAAGTGCGACATGGCGTTTTGGATATGTGTTTTTCATACCACTCTTACACATACTGGCATCCTTCTACAATTGTCCAATTGTTTTGTTGTTGTAGCTGTATGGCCATTTGGTTAAGCATTTCCCGTATATCCTGATTATTGCTTCCATCCCCGGGATTCATCACGTCGATTCAAGCGAAACCTACGACAGTGAAACGGTTTGAATCAGTTTATACGCGATGCAGGGGGTAAAGGAAATATTTATGTCGCGTCACCGTGGAATATATAACGTTTAACAGTAAGGTATAATTGCATTCAAAGTGTATCAAATAAACAAAAAATGAAGAAAGCGGTGGTAACTGGTAATACACAAACTAATAAAACATCATTTGCATTACGAACACAACGATACCAACGGAAAAAGTACTTATACCAATAAATAAATAAATAACTCCATAAACAGGTAAAACACGACATCCCACTGTTGCGGATGTAATTCCCATAATAAATAAAAACACAACCATCATGTTCCATCCGCACAAAAACACATAAACAAAACTGTAATCATCGAAAAACAGAAAATAACCTGCAAATATTGTTTCACCAAACTGGGGCAAAAAATTAAAAAAAAAAAAAGAAATAAAGACAGCACGCACAACCATCCTGTTTATTACAAATCCAACATAACATAAGTAAAAGTTTTTGAAAGCTAGATAATGGGAACGCATCTTCAGCATGACACCGCTATACCAAATCCGGCAAGCCCCAAACAAGTTTGCAAATGGCGCCTCCGCACTACACTGCAGCTGCTTCTGTGTGAGCCAGCCGATAATGTAGTCAAAATTGAAGTGCGACATGGCGTTTTGGATATGTGTTTTTCATACCACTCTTACACATACCAGCATGCTTCTACAATTGTCCAATTGTTTTGTTGTTGTAGTTGTATGGCCATTTGGTTAAGCATTTCCCGTATATCCTGATTGTTGCTTCCATCCCCGGGATTCATCACGTCGATTCAAGCGAAACCTACGACAGTGAAACGGTTTGAATCAGTTTATACGTGATGCAGGGGGTAAAGGAAATATTTATGTCGCGTCACCGTGGAATATATAACGTTTAACAGTAAGGTATAATTGCATTCAAAGTGTATCAAATAAACAAAAAATGAAAAAAGCGGTGGTAACTGGTAATACACAAACCAATAAAACATCATTTGCATTACGAACACAACGATACCAATGGAAAAAGTACTTATACCAATAAACAAATAAATAACTCCATAAACAGGTAAAACACGACATCCCACTGTTGCGGATGTAATTCCCATAATAAATAAAAACACAACCATCATGTTCCATCCGCACAAAAACACATAAACAAACTGTAATCGTCGAAAAATAGAAAATAACCTGCAAATATTGTTTCACCAAACTGGGGCAAAAAATTTAAAGAAAAAAGAAATAAAGACAGCACGCACAACCATCCTGTTTATTACAAATCCAACATAACATAAGTAAAAGTTTTTGAAAGCTAGATAATGGGAACGCATCTTCAGCATGACACCGCTATACCAAATCCGGCAAGCCCCAAACAGGTTTGCAAATGACGCCTCCGCACTACACTGCAGCTGCTTCTGTGTGAGCCAGCCGATAATGTAGTCGTCATCAGGCTAGCACATCATCACCTCCCAATAATCTGCGTTATCTATCAATGTTGAGGAAAAATGGAATAACGGCGTATCGAGAAGGGCAGGAATGTTCCTCAACCGGTGCATGCACTCCGAAATTGTGTACAGTGATTCGTTACCTATGAGGTGCCTGATTGTAACTTGCTGATTCTAAGTACGCACCACGTTTGTCAGATTGTTCATGCTTTCTGCAATAACTGACGCTCCACTTGTGGCCTTCTTCGACTTGCCACAACTTGACGGAGTCCGTTTCCTATTCTCTTTAACAGTCGCCACAAGTTCAAGTGAAGAATCTGAATCGACGTCCTGTGCGCGTATAGGTATCGGATCAACAAATGGTTGGGCGCCGAGACTGTCCACAAAATCGGATGAGATGTCGGCAGGTTCATCAAATTTCTCTCCTTGAGTCCAATGGTGCTTACCAGTAGCTGATGCCCCTGTAAAGACCGTCTCCATCAACTCGCAATGTTCCAATATTTTTTTCTTGAACTTCGCACAGGCCTTGTTTGTCTACAAAATTTGACACTGAAAACAAAAACCATTTAGTACATGCAACAGGTCAAATGTTTACTAACAACAAATACGGAAAAAAGTAATTGGTAAGAGGCAAATATGAAACGAAACAAACATACGAAAATTAAATTGTACTTACCGATTCCATCTTATCCCACCACTCATCAGACGCCTGGAACATACCAGTCTTGCTGTCAAAGTCAATCCCTGACACTCCTCGACTGGAATCCATCAACTTTCTCCAAGCATTCCATTCTTTTTTCAGACTCATGTATTTATTCTTCAACTGCTTGAGGCCATGTTGTCTTCCAGTTTTTTTCTCAAATTTCCTCGCCAACGACTTGTACCTAGCTTGGCTTAGGACTAGGAATGGCCGATTTCCTTTTGTAATTTCATTGGCAATCAACTGCAGGAAAATTCGGATGGAGTCATTGTCCTAGGAGGCCTTGTGGTTGAACTGCTTCTGTGTCTCTTCCACACTGCTTGACTTCTCCAAAGATATGCCTTTGTTTTTCGCTTGGGTACGAGGTGAAGTACGTATGGAAGCCATTTGGACCACGCAAGGAAACTAATTTACAAGACAAAATTATCACCATGACCATCTTGGTTATTATTACATCTAGTAACATCAGACCATAGCAAAAAATTTAAATTGGTTGGCACAATAACAATTTATGGCCATTGCATAATAAACACAGAAAGTGGATGCTAAATTGGACAGTATATAGCCATTGCACATTAATTAACATAACATTACAATCACATAAAAGTAGACATAAAAATACAAATTTTAACAGTGGAAGACAACTAGCAAATACAAATAGTCATTAATGTGTCCCCAAACTAGTCAGTTAAAGCAAGACAAAGTTAGCCGTCACTCTCAAGTTTCCTAAGAACATTCTAAGTTTTCTTACATGCGCAACAACAAAATGACAATCATAATGCATAGCACAGAAACAATTGTTTTAAGGAAACGCAATGACAGTTGAATGTGTATGACATCATCCCGCAAATGCATGACAATGTCGTTACTGGATGAGGCAAAATTCATGCTCTATCTCCTTGGTCTTTCGCACCAACCAATCCAACTGACACAGGGCTGACGAGTGAAAATGACGCATGTGTTAGTAAATTGGTTCAGCATGAAATACAGTTATGACCATTAATGAATTGGGCACTCACCACAAGGCGGGGACATGCAAGGTCAGGACACCGTGGATTTTTGGTCGACCTGGATATGTTAACAATACAGTGGCCATAGCCACACGCACACATCCGACGTGGCCATGTACTGGAAGTTGCAGTAGAGGTAAACGAAGCCATGCTATGTTTGCTGACTGGGTGAAAGACTTATGGTAACATGTAGGTGGCACATTAGTCATAGTTCAGGAAATTGCCAGATTGTTAAAAATTGAGGAATGTCCCCAAATTGTTATTTAAAAATAGGCTTTTATAACTGGCAAAATGTAAGTTGTCAATTACAAATACCTCTGAATGTGACATTTCAGAATTTTGCTATAAAACCAAAATAAAATAAATGATCGTGTGTCTCCATTTCCAATTTTGAAGTAATGTACAATTCATATTAAATTTGTTCTATCCTTCGAAAGAAAGATACAAATTCAGATTTACAAAAACCCTCAACGAGAATTATTTCCTCTATTTTAGAAACTAAAATCCATGTGGTAGCAATTCTCAATTAAGCAAGATAACATGAATTGACTTTGTCAAATTCTCTATTTTACAAAAAAACATACGACATTCTCTATTTTACAAATAACATGAATTGACATTTACAAACACCCTCAACATGAATTGACATTGGCAAATTCTCGCAAATAACATATTTGCAACTAAATTCCATGTGTTAAATCCAAGTGTCGAATTCTCTAAAGTCTGTATTAAATTCCATGTGTTAAATCAAAGGTGTACTGTTGCTCTTCCTTTACAATTGAGATTTACAAATACCATCAACATGAATTGATTTGTCCTGTTAATTGCGAGCTTGTAAAAAAAATTATTTCACAAAATAGAAATGTCACATAAGTCAAAACCCGTATAGAAACCACGACAATTTACATAAATACAAATTTCACAATCGAAAAGCTAAGCCAACATTGCTATGGAGCAGAGTTAGAAAAAACGTAATCCAAACGTTCCATGAGCAATATGTAATAAAAACCCTAACCCAACATTTGCAAGAGAATTACCCTAATCTAAACCATGACAATATTCAATAGAAAAACTACTAATTTCACAAAATCAACAATCGAGAACCTAACCCAACATTTCCATGGACCAGAGAATGAACTTAACAAAATTGTATGAATTCATGTGGGCAAACATAAAATTAGTTCATGTTGTTTCTTACAATTTAGGAAACAAATTAATTTTGGCCAAAATAAATATTTTGGGGAAAAATAAATTTTATTTAAATTCTCAGTGTTGTTCAAGAAACAAATTAATCGTATGAATTCTGGTGTTCCAGTGGGTTGAAAGGGTTAATTATAACAGAAAAAATACATTCATCAATGTTGTTCCTTTTTCTTGTTCCTTTATGTTCAAAGGGCCAATGGACTCTGTTGTCATCGTTTCATCAGCATGGGAAGATGGAAACAGGGTTAGGAGATACCGCAAAAAAAAAAACAAAAAACATGAACCTCAGTTGCCCAATCTCAGAAATTTTGGACATGTGTTATTAGAACCTCAGTTTAACAAAAAAAAACAAAAAATGAAAAAACCCAAAAAAAAAAAAAAAAAATTACAGACCTCAGTTGTGAAAAAAAAACTGAATTCAAAAAAAAAAATATAATCTTGAGTTTCACGAATAAACAAAATAAATAAACATGAACCTCAGTTTCACACAAAAAAAATTATCAGAAGCATGATCTCCATTGATTAACGGAATTTGTAGTTAGGAAAAATAAATAAATAAATAAATAAGGGAGGTTTTGGGTGTAATTTCCATGACAGACCAGTAGCTTCCATCCCACATGCCAAACAAAAAATAGACAAAAAGAGGAAAATTTGCAATCACCCACAACAATGGGTTTGACGGATGAACCGACCAGATCAAGTTAGTTTAGACAGATTTATGCACAAAAAAAACAAAAACAAAACAAAAACCGTTCAGTACCTGATGATCGGTGGGTTTTGCAGATGGTGAGATCTTGTTCGACGCCGCAGATGTGTAGTCCAATAGCGTTCGCCTATCGCAAGCTTCATGAGTCTTCTTCGACGGCGCCGATGTGTAATCCGATGGCAATCAGCTTTGGCAAGCTTCGCGAGATGTCTTTTTGCCGTTTAGCGTAGGCGATTCTTCTCCACTTCATCGTGCCTCTATGTGCCCTACAAAATTCCAGTGTTGTGTGTGTGTGTGTGGTGTGAGGCGGTACTGGTGTGAAGCATAGTGGAAGGCGAGTAGTTTAGTAAAATCACCTTGGCCTGGGTTAGGTGTAACCACATGAAAGCCGGTTTTGTTTGGCTAAATTAGTCTTTTTTGGACTATAATGGCTAATTTAGCCCAAACTCCTCCTCCTAAACGGTGGCTAAGTTGGTGATGAAATGTTTATCATTATTTTTCTGTGTGTTTTTTTATTTCTTGAGAGGGTAATTTGCGTAGTCAAATTGGGCCGAGCTAGGTTGAAATGGAGGTCAAAGATGTTTACGGGACCTAGCTACAGAACCAAGCTGTTGGACCTAGCTACAGGACCTAGCTACAAGACCGAGCTACAAGACCTAGCTACGGGACCAAGTTATTGGACCTAGCCACGGGACCTAGCTACGGGACTTAGCTACTTCCTAGTGGCAGTCAACGATATGGCCGAGCTACCAAGCAAGGTCGTCAAACGGAGAGAAGAGCCGAAGTAACTTGGTTGACCGCAATGTTAGCCGAGGTAAAGATATCAGCCGAGGTAAAGGGTCAGCCGAGGTAAAGGTGTCAGCCGCGATAAGAAGAGCTTAGCAAGTGGATCGCAAGTGTTAGCTCGGTCCAAGTATAATGACGGTCACCACGGTCGGAGTGGAGATAGTTAGCTCGGTCCAAGTGTAATGACGGTCACCGCGGTCGTAGCGTGCCATAGTTAGCTTGGTCGTAGTATTTGGAGCCAAGGTGTGATGGCTTCTCATGGTGGACCTCGCTTTGGTTAGCGCGGTCTTAGCGCGCCATAGTTAGTTCGGTCCAAGTATGAAAAGGGATTGGCAAGTGTTACCACGGTCCAAGTGTGATTAAAGTCACCAGACAAAGTAAAGGTAGTTATCTCGGTCAGGGTATTCAAAACCAAGGTATTTGGGCTTCTTGCGGTGGACCTAGCTATCATTAGCTTGGTCGGGGGTTTACTACGGTTAGCACGATAGTAAGTGAACACCACAGTTGGAGTATGTCAAACCGAGGTACACGCAGTGAAAGGAAGAACCAAGCTAGCTGGAGCTCGGTCTAGTCTGCGGCTTTAGCATGGTCATGGTAGCTCGGTCGTATTGACATCCAACCGTGATAAAACCATCTCACTTGGTTTAAGCAGTGAGGGGGGTGTTGAAGGATAAACATTATCTTTCAGGAATGTGATTCCTAGGAGGACTCTACATGGAGGAGTAAGAGTCCTACTTGGATTGTGCCACGCGGAACCTATAAAAGCTCATAACATCACCTATGGAGAGGTAACATAACTTTGATTCTCGAATACACAGAGATTTTGTCTATTTGTCTATTTTGCTGACTTAGGCATCGGAGAGGTATCCGACACACACCCGCCAGCTAGCTCACGTTTGTGTTTTGAGGGAGTAAAGCGATGTCGTACAAAGGAGCGCAGACTTGATCAACAGGATTATACGAGAAGGTTTATTTCTTTCCCGTACAATTGGCGCTGTCTGTGGGAAATATCAGACAAGAACAAAACCTCTTGATCTAGTTAAACTCGCTAATCAAAAGCAATGGCGTACAATGAAGATTTGCCACAGTCCGCCATCGACGGACAAATCCCAGAGGGGGTTGGAAGGCGCGAAGGTTTGCCCACCATCCCTCCCATGGCGGATTTGGAGCCACAGCAACAGAACCCCCGGAGGGATGCAAGGGGGAGGAGGCGGACTAACAGCCCCTGCCGCTCTCGCTCACCAAGTCCTGGCAGACAAAGGCAGAGGATCGACCCTCAAGCTCTGGAGGATCGCGTCAAGGAGCAGGACGAGTTGATACGAAGGATGGCGGCAGACATGGAATCAATGAAGCGCCAGATGAAAGGAAAAGGGGTGGTGACAGGAGAGGGGCGCAAAAGCAAGACGCCCCCTCGCCACTCGGAAGATCGTGGTAGGCATTCCATGCCATCGCAAGCAGAGAGTAGGAGCCTTAGAATAGGCGATACCCAAACAAGGACTTCCAGGACTCGTTACTCCAGGTCTGAGAGAACGAGAACTGAGAGGTCATATACTTAGGGAAGCACCTATCGCCCCTCGCGCACACACCAGACGGTATCCAGGCAAACAGAGTTGCCCAGGTCATCTGGCTTGCAGACTGCGCTTGAGGAAAGGGCGCGATGGAAGGAGGATACTAGGGCGCGCAGAGTCACAGCCCTTCAGCGGTTGCCTCCTCGAACACATGAAAGCGTCGAGGTAGGAATGCCAATACCGCGCCCTGCTTACGAACCAACGGACAAAGCATTAGCAAGGCTGCAGACCTCGCCGTTCGTTCCAACAATTGAGAACGCGCCCCTACCGTCTGGCTTCCTTCAGCCCAAATTCACCACTTATGAAGGGAGGACGGACCCCTACTCACACTTGAGCCACTTTCGCCAGGTTATGGCTGTATACCGGCAAAACGAAGCTTTAATGTGCATCATATTCCCATCTAGCCTTGGCAACCTAGGTTTAAACTGGTTCAAAAGGCTACCAGAAGGCAGCATCGCCTCCTAGGCACAGTTGGCAGAGGTGTTCGTAACAAGGTTCAGAATAGACACCAAAACGCCAGTGGAGATCGACCAGCTTCTGTCAATTGACATAGGCGACAATGAGACGTTAAGATCCTACAATAGTCGCTACTGGGAGACCTTCAACCAGATTAGGGATTGCCCCACCAATCTCGCCATCGCACAATACAAAAGAGGTCTTCCAGTCGAAAACAGGTTGAGGGACTCAATCACCATGACGCCACCCCATACGATGGAAGCCTTGATGGAGAGAGTACACCAACATATTTGCGTGGAGGAAGATGACAACCGCACTAAAGCAAAATCTGGCACAACCGCAATACCAGATAAAAAGACTACGGTAAAAGTCAACGCGGTGGAACGTCCAAGCAGAAACGGGCGAAGCAGGCGGGACAACAGAAAGGACCAAGACAAAAGAAGGTTGAGAGTCCGCACTGCCATTACCACGGTGTTCAAAAAACTGATCTATCGGATTCTCAGCGAGATTCATAATGAACCTTTCGTCCGATGGCCTGCTAAACTGGGAGAAGCGTAAAGAGACTATGACGAGAGATCGTGGTGCACCTTCCATGATGAAACGGGGCACCACACTGAAAATTGCACACCATTAAGGCAGCACTTGGAGGAGTTAGTGGAAGCTGGGCACCTGGACCAATACATAGAATGAGGGACACAACTAGCCCCCCAGAACCACAACAACCCAAACGGGATGCCGGTCGACGCTCCACCTCAAGGCGTAATAAACGTAATACATAGAGTATTCGAACCTGAGCGAGTATGTGAGCTCAGGGGGATGATCAAAAAGGCTGAGCACTTAAGGGAGGTACTAAGTGCACAACCTACCATCAAAAAGGGGAGAACAGAACCCACAAATGTGATATCTTTTTCGGACAAAGACTTAGCACGGATATACTGCCCTCACAATGATGCACTGGTCGTCACTCTACGCGTCAAGAATTTCGACATCAAACAGATTTTGATCGACCAAGGAAGCTTATGTGAGATAATGTATTACAAAACCTTCAAACAATTGAAACTGGAGGACAAAGACTTGGCATCTGCAACATCTCCCCTGATCGGATTCAACTCAATGCCAGAGTGGCCAGTGGGCAAGATAATCCTCCCAGTCAAGGCAGGAACCATGACAAAACAAATGGAATTCTGGGTATTGAAAGTCCCTTCCTCTTACAACATAATATTGGGAAAGACATGGTTGCATGCCATGCAATCGGTAGCTTCAACCTATCATCAAGTATTGCAGTTCCCCAACGAAGCCGGGGTAATTGAAGAGGTCTTTGGAGACCAAATTATGTCCAAACAATTCTTCATCACAGCAAATGGCAGCCGCGCTGCCAAAGGATATGTACAGCTGGTAGAAGAACTCAAGAGCAAGGAGCTGTTCATAGATGTACGCAAGGCAGCTGAATAAAAGGCAATTTAAGATCGAAGATTGGGTAATGCGCAAAGTGATGGGAAACACCTTGGTACCTGAAGATGGCAAATTAGGGCCTAATTGGGAAGGACCTTACAAAGTGGTCGGATTAGCAGGAAAATGTGCTTACCACTTGGAAGACGAAGACAACAAAGCAATTCCCAGACCATGGAGCACTGTCAATCTCAAACTATTTTATTTTTAGCTTTCCTATAGAGTACTTGTAATTTTTCTTTTCCTCAATAGAACAAGTAGTTTCATTTTCAGCATAGATTGTTTTCTTTTATAAAAGTTGTTTTAGAGAGCTAGGAGCATTAAAAGCAGAGTTGACTGAAAAAACCAACACTTACCTCTCCTAAGCCAAGATAAGGATATCTAGGCTGCAGGAAGTGTTTGACCAACAAGTCTTTGCCCGACTTAGGGGGCAATCAAGAAGTTTGGCAGGAATAACCAAACGCTTAGCTCTATGTTGGCCGGAATAACCAACATTTAGCTCTCCTAAGCCGAGATAAGGATATCTAGGCTGCAGGAAGTTGGCAGGTTTGACCAACAAGTCTTTGCCCGACTTGGGGGGCAATCAAGAAGTTTGGCAAGAATAACCAAACGCTTAGCTCTATGTTGGTCGGAATAACTAACATTTAGCTCTCTTAAGTCGAGATAAGGATATCTAGGCTGCAGGAAGTTGGCAGGTTTGACCAACAAGTCTTTGCCCGACTTAGGGGGCAATCAAGAAGTTTGGCAGGAATAACCAAACACTTTACTTTAGGTTGGCTGGAAAAACCAACATCCCTTCTAAGCCCAAGATAAGGATCCAGGCTGCAGGACGTTTGGTCGAAATAACCAAACACTTTACTCTGGGTTGGCCGGAAAAACCAAATCTAGAGGTTGGCTAGATTAAACCAACACTTAGTACTCTTCAGCCGAAGTAAAGGATATCGGCTAAAGAGTGGTTGGCTGGATTGAACCAACACTTAGTACTTTTCAGCCGAAGTAAGGGTATCGGCTAAAGAGTGGTTGGCTAGATTACACAAACTCTTAGTACTCTTCCGCCGAGGTAATGATCTCGGCTAAAGAGTGGTTGGCTGGATT